TAGAGGGTTTTGGGGATTCTGTATTTATCCAGTAGTGGGGGTAGATTTGGGTCCTCTCAAAAGGTTCTTGGTCCCTTTCATATCTTTTGAAGGTCAAATGAAAAGAATGAAAAGTCAATATATTTGTGTTTCAGCAAAATACTTTGGGAAAAATTCTAAGTCTGGCATTTTCTAGTTGTATGATTTTGTATATGTAGCCTTTTTTTTCTTCCATGTTCTGTCTGTATCATGGGGTAGACTTATATGAAACAAAGTCTGTAAAACACATAACATGGTTCCTGACTCCTGGTGGACAATCGCTCATTGAGGTGGGTTATCATGGTGCCATTGTTGATGTTGCTATTGCTTGCTTCCTGTTTCAGGTAGGTCTCTGATTCTTTTAGGACTTGCCCTGTGTACAGGTAAAGTTCAGGCCAGAGGTGGGGCCTGAATTCTGCCCTGGGATGTTCCTCAGCATCGCGTACCTTTCTAGGCACACTTTTGGGAGAAGGGAGGGGCAGAGTGCTAGTATAAAGGAGAACAAGATAGTAACAACAACCATTGCCTATTAATACTTACAGTGAATTTCTGCTCCACTGCTGTAGTCACTTTTCTTAAATTTAGCAACTTGTACTGATCACAAAAAGTACACTTTATAAGCAGATGGTACCCTTCACCACTCACCCACACAGGACTTGGGTTCTGTCTGGGGCCTGACAACCCATCTCTCCTCTGGCCCAGACCTGTGGCTGCTGCTGCTTCGGATCTGTGCTGAATGAGACTTGAGCCCAGCCTCCTCCTCCCCAGTTTTCTCTCATGCTGAACGTCTGCTGCATTCTCATGCGATCAGAAGCGATCTTAACATCTTTCCTCCTCATGTGGAATTTAATTTCCTAACTGCAGTTTTATATAGTGCAAAATGAAGACGCTGGATCTCTGATCTTGCAGGAAAAAACACCCAGATCTTCACTGGTGTGGGGAGCATGGATCCAATTGATATGTTAATGCAGGAGGATGCAGTCCTGGAAGGATGTCAGGGGCTTCCACAAATACACTGTGTGTGGCCCAGTTCTGACTGCTGCAGGCTTTGATGTCAAATAAATGGGATAAGGATGGGAGAGTGAAGCCACACCACAGATCTTCTTCCTTCTAACAGAAGGGCAAAAGTTTGCAAAGTCCTCACCAACTGCTTACAAACAAAGGAAAGAGTACTTCATTCCACAGCTTGAAAAAGGAAAGCCGAGTTAAAATTTAGAGTTAAAGTGCTCAGCAAGGCACTCTTCCCCACAGCCAGAGGCACACTGGACAAAGTTAAAGAAAATTTCAGGAATTCAAAGCCCCCACATTTGGAGAGAAGGTAATTATGGGGTAAGTAGACCAAGATGGAAAATATAAAGATCAACCCTAGGGAAGGGAAGGGAAGGGGAGGGGAGGGGAGGGGAGGGAAGGGAAGGGGGCTCACCTGGCTTCTTTCTGGCTCTCAGAGAGAGGGAAGCGCTCCAGGGTTCCCCGTCACTGAGGACTCCCCACTGAATATTCCAAGAATATTCCACCAAGGGAATAGGGTGAAAAAGTGTATAAAACACGATTCAGCCCTGGAACTGAGACTCTGCAAGGAAGACAATAATATCAGAGAAGGTAGAATAGCTTTCAAGGAAAATTTGACCAATGATATTAGAGCAAATGTAGGTTAAGGACAAGGCAGACAGACAGAAATGACAGAGTAACTAGATGAACATGTTTCAGGGGAAATTATGGAAAGAAGATAGCACACAGCCTGCAAAAGACTGATGAAGAAAGCAATCTGAGTGAAAATATAACCTGAAGGCAAAAAATATTTCCATGAGTCCTTCACATCAGAGAAAATCTATACAAAAATATGAATGAGTTAACAGATGAGATTAAAATGCAGAGAATAGGTTTAAAAGAGTTTTATTTTTTAATTTAGCACCAAAGAACATTATTAACAGAACTAGTAAATTAACAAAAACAGCAAGGAACAAGATAGGTAATCAGTTACTGACATAGAAGAAGACAGGTTTGAGGTGACAGCTATGAAAGCCCAAGAAAAGACCTAGAGATTAAAACAATCATGGAAAAAACAATAGAAATGAAGGACAGGCAAGGGAGAGCCAGATATGACTAATTGGTGTCCCTGAACTGGAAACCTTACAAAAGGGGATAGAATGTCTTTTTAAATATGTAAAGAGGAAAATTTTCATGAACAAGGGAACATGGACTGAAACCAATCTAAAAGGTAAACTCTACACTCCAGGAAAATTTAATGCAGAATTAATGCCAGTGAAATAGTTCCTGGTTAAGTTAATAAACACTAAAGACAAAGGCTTACTTCATGCATTCAGGCATAGAAAGCAAGGGAGAGAGCTGGCCAGGGATGAACCAGACTATGCAGACAGGTCTCAGACTGCCCCACAGCAGGATCCAGAGTTAAAAAAGAAAATGGCATGGAGAGAAAATTCTGAGAGCGAGAACACATTACCCAAGATTATTATACCCAGCCAAGCTGGCTTCCAGGAATCATAGTCACATGTAAACCTACCAAAAAGTAGGCTCTTTTCATGAGACATTAAAAAAAAGTCAGCCCACTGACATGAACAGAGAAAGGACAGGTAGACCTGGGCAACACCTAAAATCAGAGGACAAACAGTTAAAAAGTACATTTTATATTGTGTATACCTTACCATACAATTTTTAACAACCAGGTAAAAGAAAAAAAAAAAAAAAACAGAGGACATGGAGTATGGACTGAAGAGTTCTGAGGGAAAGGAAACATTGTTTACCCACCCAAGTTTCCTTTTGATTACATAGGCCACAGACGATTCTTGACCGACAAGAATTTAAGAATCCAGCATCTGTGAGAACTTAGAACTGCTCAATGATAAAATCCAGCCCAGCAAGCAAATAAACCAAATAGAAATTCAACCAGGAGAGGGAAAGCTATTAGGAAAAGGGCTCCAAAATACCAAATCCACTCAAATACAGAAAAAGGCTAAACAATGGTGGGAATAATTGTTACATGATAGAATACAAATGCTACTAACCTTGCAAATATCACCAACAAAAATCACAAGAAATGTGAAAGTATAAGGATGCTGATTTCCTCATCTTTTATAATAGAGCATAATTAAAATTTTCCGAAATTGAAACATGAAATTAAAAACATAAAGAAGCCAACCTCTTAATGTTTTTCACATCCTTGTTCTTGATCTTAGAGGGCACTTTTACAAAATAATATCTTTTGTGCCAAGGCAACATTTATTTGAAGATAGGCAGTTTCCTTCACTTAAATACCACCCCATTTTCTTCTTTTAAATTAAAGTAAAATTTAATAAAATACTTTTATATTGAAAATAGTAGGTGTCACTAATCCCATTTTTATCTAAAAGTCTTTGTTTATCTATACTTGCACCTTTTATGGTTGATATGGGTACAGAGATGTCTGAGGTGAGGGCCACCTGAGGCTGAGATGTCTGTTGCAGAGCAGCAGGATCTGAAGTCCTTTTAGAACTTTCTTTTTCTGTATTATTTCCATTCTTTATAATGAACAGGCTTCATTTTTACCAAATCAATATGATTTGAGAAGATGAATAAATTAAAAGAAATCAAATGCTTGAAAATTAAAACAGATGCTGTTTTCTGTAATATTGGGTTGTTTTTTTTTTTCAGATTTTATTTGGAAAAGGTTTAATACCATCCTGGTGGATAAGGGAAACATTTATTTCTCCCGTGTCTGGAATAGCTAGGTGGCTCAGCCCCATGTCCAGGATCCAGGACTGGCAGTCAGGTGATTTAGGATGAACTGGCTAGGGCGACCATGGACACTCTGCTGCCCAAGTCCCTCGTTCTTCGGGTACCCCGTCCCAGGCCTGTTTTCAGGGTGGAGGCAGCAGCACCAGAATAGCAAAGCCCAATTACACAAGTGCTTTTCGTGCCTCTGCTTGCAACAAACCAAAAGACGTCAGAGTCAAGTGGTGGAGAAATAGACTCTGTTTAGTTGGGGGAAACTGCAAAGGTCATATGGTATAATTCATGTATACAGGGAGGAGTGAGGAGCTGGTTTCAATACAATATGGCCAGGTAAGCTGTTTCTGCTTAATTTTGCCACTGTAATCAACACGTCGGTCAGTTTTATCCTAATACCTCTCTTCCAGTAGGATTGAGAGGGAATCGCAATGGCTCCCTAATCCATTTACCCAAGAATGGAAAGTGCAAGAGTTTTTTATTTCAAAATATTTAGCTGGAGGATGGACCTAGAGGCTGTCATACAGGGTGAAATAAGTCAGAAAGAGAAAAACAAATATCATATATTAATGCATATATATGGAATCTAGAAAAATGGTACACATGAATCTATCTGCAAAGCAGAAATAGAGACACAGACATACAGAACAAATGTATGGATACCAAGGTGAGAAAGGAGGTGTGGGATAAACTGGGAGATTGGGATTGACATATATACACTACTATGCATAAAATAAATAACTAATAAGAACCTACTGTATAGCACAGGGAACTCTACTCAGTGCTCTGTGGTGACCTAAATGGGAAGGAAATACAAAAAAGAGGGGACATATGTATATGTATAGCTGATCCACTTTGCTGTACAGCAAAAACTAACACAACATTGTAAAGCAACTGTACTCCCATAAAAAAAATTTTTTTAAAGAAAATTTAGCTAGAAGTTACCAGTTTCTTTAGTTCAAGAAAGAGATTAGAGATCCATTTCCAGAAGCAGTGACCCCAGGCTTGGGCAAAGAAAAGCAAGCAAAAGATTCCAGGAAGAAGATTTTGCTTCAAATAAAGAAATCCAGGGTAAACCCCTAGTACTGGTAAGGAGACAAGTTCCCTGGCTGGCTGGCTGTGAAGGGAGCATACATCAGAGAGCTTGGGGGAAGCAGGGACAGGTCTCCAGATGGGCTTGCCAGTTCCAGGGCACAACACAGAGTTTTCTGTCCCTGAACAACCTGTTGGCTACCTTGGATCTGTGTGTGAGCAAACTGATGAGAGGGAGGTGAAAGAGTGAATTCTACTAACCTGTGGGATATTAGACAATAGTTAACTTCTTTAAGATGCAGAGATATTGGGGACAGCTTCTCTGAAGAGGTCTGACATTTCTGAGAGTCACACTTAAACTAGGTCCTAGAAGATGGAGAGGATTTTACGCATGGGAGAATAGTCCAGCAAACCACCCCCACACACATACATACACATATATGCACACAGTTTTGGACTGAGTTTTATTCCCAGTTTTTCTGGTTATCTGCCACAGGATCTTGGACTAGTTACCTAACTTGTCTAAACTTCAGTTTCATCATCTGTAAAATGGGCATAACACAGTAACCAAGGCTCAGGGTTATTCCAAACTTCAAAGGAGATGCTGTTTCTAAACTGGCCTATGGTTAGCCCTCAACTGATGGTAGCTACCATGATTATTAATTGATAGATGTCAGGGGTGAGAGGAAGGACATGGCAAAGATGGGAAGAGCAATGCATGCTGATACATCTTCATTTGAGATTCACTATTTGGAAACTGCACTTAGTTTTCTCAGTGCCTCCATGGGCTGGTTCTCAGGTAAGCAAAGGTAATCTGTCCCTGCCTTCTTCAACCTCTGCTGTATTCTGAAGCATTTAAAGGACAATTAAACTGTGACAACTCACTGACGAATAACTGTGCTCTCTGCTAATCTTGTCACATTGGGCACTGGCTAGAGACACAATTAATACAACATGGTTGAACAGCTTACACATTAATTACATGCCCCACTAAAAGTGACAGGGCTGGGAGGCCTGCAGCATCTTAATTTCCCACCCTCTGGGGGTTTTCCCAGTGAAAGTGAGGTTCCAATGTAGGCATAAATCAACTTTGTCATACCAGAGCTCAGAGCTACACCAAGGGGGACTCAGTCCTCTGTGTCCCACACCCTCCATTCCCAGACCCGGGGCTCTCGCCGCTGGGTAGAAGTGATTTACAGTAAGCCCTTCAAGATGATGTGTTAGCACTCAAGGTCAATGAATTGAAGAGTGTGGCTTAATAATGTGCAGCACTTTGAGCTTCACCCTCAGCTTCAAAAAGAACCTGTCTTTTGCAAAACGAATGGGCTCTGTGATTGGTGCTTCACCCGGGTTCACTCAGTCAAGCCTCACAGCAGCCTGAGGGCTTCAAACAACACACCAATCAGGAACCCCTCCTTCCCCAGCCTCTGGGCTCACCACTGTCACCCAGGCAGGATGCAATTTCCAGACCCTTTTCTATGCAAATGCAAACATATTTGTATAAGCATTTATCATTTTATATATCATTTAAAATTTTTTAAACAACAGAGCCATTTACACATGGTTTTCTTTTTCTTCTTTAACAGTATTTCTTCTCTTGTCGGTCCATGTAGGTCTACATCATTCTATTTAACGACTGCACCATACTCCAGAGTAGATGTTGGTTGACTGAAAGAAAAACGCACAACATGCGAGTTGTGAGTTAAGTTTTATTCAGTAAGACTACTGAGGATGGTAGCCTAGGAGACAGCCTCTAAGATAGCTCTGAGATACTGTTCCAGAGAGGTCCTGGGGAGGCTAGTTTATATGTGATTTTTCTTATGGAATACACGCAGTCAGTAAACATCTTGGTAAAAGATTACTGTTAGTCTCAAAAAACAGACCTCTCATGTTGATGATTATAGTACTTTTCTGTGTATGGGAAGATGCAAGAAATGGGGCTCATTAAAATTCTTCCTGAAACGCATCCAACTATTCAAAGGCCTGTTTGTACAAAGCACAAAGCATCCTGTTATTGTCTTTAATTTCCTCTGTCTGAAGCACAGGGTGCTTCATCCCAACCTGTTATCACCTTAATCTTTGTCTGAAATATGAAAAGCACTGTGGGTCAGCAACTGCAGTGGGTTAATCTTTGTCGACTTGGATGGAGAGAGAAATGCTCACTGCTGTTCTTTTGTTCGCAATTCCCCCCTTTTGGTCATAAATTCATCCAAAGTTTGGGAGGCATTTCATGACCAATTTGTCCCACTGCACTAGGAAGGTTCACTTTTAGGTCAAGCAAGGATTTCGTGGATAGACCACTCAATGTGTTATGACCAAACTGAGCCAGTCTAACGGTAGCTATAAAGGTCTCTGGACCACCTGTCTTACTAGTCTGTTATGATCCAGGAAAAATTCACCCTTGTTGTTTATTTCCATATCTAGAGTTTATACTATTACAGTCCATCTTAATCTTATATGGAATTATATAGCTGGTTAATCATTTCAAGTCACTTAGCCATCATTATGTCTGGCAGAGACTCAGTTGCATATTGGGTAATATAAGAAAATTAGCAGAATACAAGTAATATAGCTAATAGCATTAATAAGGTCATAATTCATATGTAAAAGTCCAAGAAGTCAAGAAAACACTATAATTAAACATACTGGTCTGGTCCAGCATCTTGGGATAACCATCTACTTCTGATGTCACCTTTTTCTTGTCCTGCTGTGGAGATCCTTCTTCTCTGTTTGAGCATTGCTTTAAGGTGAGTTTGAGGTTAACAATCTTCTCTGTAGACCAGTCCAGTGCAAGGCCCTTTTTAAGTAGGAAATATGAATCCAAGAGTCAATTCCCTTTAGTTTTGTTGTGTATGAGCTAGTTAAAAGTACCTGATAAAGGCCTTTCTACTTAGGCTGGAGAGTGTCTAGTGTCTAAATAACTTTTTCAGTATATATTTTCCTGGTTCTAGCTCTTGGGGCATCTGACCTTCATTCAAACAAAGATTATAGTGATGAACTTCAGAAACAAGCCTAAAATGTCCTTTCAATAATTCAATTAAATTTTGCAGTAATGTAACATAGCAACAAGGAGCCATCTAGGAAGTGAGTCTTAGGAGGTATACATATGAAAACTTAAAGAGAATTAATAGCACTAGAACTTAATATCCACAAAGGTGTATTACTGAAATGTAATTTTTCTATCTAAAATGATCTTCATTTTCACCAAATATAGCCAAACTAAGGCTAACTTGGTTGCAAAATAAGTCTGGTTTCAATAAACTTGGCCTGATTATTTACATAAGTATATCAAGAAAAGCAATTGATCATATAAGCTGTTTTAAATTTGCTTTGCTGGAACGTTCCATAAGGAATCTCAGGTTGAACATTAAAAGGCCTCTCAAGGCCAGGAAATTTATGCTAAGGACTTGTCATCAGACTCACCTGTAATACTTATAGATTTGAGTGAAGTCCTGTCTTCTCAAGCTCCGCAGAATATCTTGAGATCCCTGCACCTGTCAGGAAGTGACCTTTCTTATTCATCTGGTAAGGTTGCTGGGAACCCTGTAAGTAAGGTACCAGGTTGTTTTTCTAAAGGCTTTTTTGGCTCCATAAAGTCTATCTTAGTTCATTAAAGCTTTCTGGTCATATCTGATTCTATGTATGTTCTCAAATATGGCATTCCAGTCAAAGTCATGATAATATAGCCAATGTTTCCAACTATGTCCAGTTATAAGGAGAACAGATTCTTTTTTTTTTAACATCTTTATAGGAGAACGGATTCTTTTTTTTCCTTTTTTTGCCTACAAGAGACTCCCTTTATTTATTTATTTATTTATTTATTTTAATTAAAGCATTTATTTAGGCATTGTTTCAATCAATAAAAACACAATACAGCCCACTGCCTTGTTGCCTAACACAATAGGAGATTGCAGAAGCACAAAGATGAATTACAACATAGTCTCTGCCAGTAGAAGGCATTTCATTTCAACATAAGAAAGAACTCCTTTGACCAACTAGGTGATAAAACTCAAGAACTGGCTGAAGGAACATATATAATATATAAATGCCTAGAGATTGTCAAGAATAATATTGACTGCTATTCAAGATTGTTATGATCGTTATGATCATAGAACTAGATGATTACTGAAGTTCCTTTCTAGACTGTGATACTAAAACCTGTACCTTAGTTTTTTGGGTTTCTTAATTGAATTTTTGAATTTTATTTTATTTATTTTTTTATACAACAGGTCCTTATTAGTCATCAATTTTATACACATCAGAGTATACATGTCAATCCCAATCGCCCAATTCATCACACCACCACTCCCACCCCCCGCTGCTTTCCCCCCTTGGTGTCCACACGAGGAGAACAGATTCTTATTGAACATACGCAAATAACTATATTGCCATGAAAATAAGAATACTCACTAAGAGTTTCTAATTCTGCAGGATCAGGTACAGAGAAAAGATAAATGTTTCAATTCTGCTTACAAAAGTATAATTTAATTTACCAAATTGTTGTAAGTCATAATTAGCGTAAGGAGAAAAGTTTCCTTTTATCTGGAAAGCAAATTTTTTTTTCAACTGAGTAATATTTTAGACAAAAGTCATAAAATTTATAACCATATTCATCAATTTATTCAGTCCTATGTAATTAATTTTTGTTTATTTTGATCTTCTGTTAAGTTTTATGAAGCCATCTGTTTGTTCAATAGCATTCTTTAATTTCTTACCCAGTTCAGTAGTATGATCTGAAAGTTATCAGAAACCTGTGGTTGTTTAAAACAAAAGTCATTCCTATAAATCTTCTTGGGAATTTCCCTGGTGGTCCAGTGGTTAGGACACAGGGCTTTCACTGCCATGGCCCGGGTAAGATCCCTGGTCAGGGAACTAAGATCCTGGAAGCCATGTGGTGTGGCCAAGTAAGCAAATAAATAAATTAATTAATTAATTAAAAAAAATAAATTTAGGGCTTCCCTGGTGGCGCAGTGGTTGACAGTCCGCCTGCCGATGCAGGGGACACGGGTTCGTGCCCCGGTCCGGGAAGATCCCACATGCCGCGGAGCGGCTGGGCCCGTGAGCCATGGCCGCTGAGCCTGCGCGTCCGGAGCCTGTGCTCCGCAACGGGAGAGGCCACAACAGTGAGAGGCCCATGTACCGCAAAAAAAATAAATAAATAAAAATAAAATAAATAAATAAATAAATGTAAAAATATATAAATCTTCTTGATGAAGCATTTTTGCAAAAGTATAAGGATAAAATAATAATCATCTATAAATGACAAAAGACTTTAAATGGCATGGTTAGCAACCTGGTTAAAATATAATTGACAAAGAAAGTTGATTATTTCTGTGACATATATTTCAAGATAATAATTAGGATTATGAATGATAATATTATATTAGGACATATTTGAATTTTAGGGATTTCATAAAATTTCTAGAATATTTATATTAATAACATTTAACCATACAATATAACCTAAGAAGCTTTATCATCATTTATTTTAAAATGTTTCTCATGTAATTTAATATACCAATAAGCCTCATTAGTTTAATATCTCTCCGAGATATTTCAGGGGCCCTCTGAAACATCTCAAAGTTAGTTAGAGGTCAAAAAAATTCATTTAAAATTTTATTTGAGGAAGTTTATCCAAGATAAATGTTTTAAAATACTTGGTCAAATAGGATCATACGTCTCTGAGAAACAATACTTAGTTATTCACTTAACCAAAGTGACAATAAGATTTTAAAGGCAAACACGAAAAGTTACAACAGATCACTTAAAAGGTAAAGAAAATTTTACAATCTATTATCAAAAACAGATCAATATTCCAAGAGAACTTTGTCCTCTTAACAGAGAGAAAATAAAATTCTAGTTTTGCACTAGCTTACTTATAATATTAGAATTGTTTCAATCAATTAAGTCCATTTTAACTTGACCTGACCAGCCATTATACTCTTTGCCGGTGTTTCTTTTCCACAAACCTTCTACAACTTCCTTTTTTAATTTCAGATTTTGTCCTATGCTTTCCATTTTTCTTTATCTTTCTCTCTTAACCTCTCTTTAGGAAAAAATTATTTTCCTTTCCCTTAATAAAATGCATTTCTATTCGTTATACCCTTTTTATTTTCTTTTGGCCATTTATTTAAACAAGAGGAAAACAGACACATGCTGAAGAATATGAAGAGCACAAAAGAGCACACAGTGATATGTTAGCAGCTCCATGCTATAGGTAACTGGTATCAAGTTTTTCTTCTTTCTTTCCAGAAATGCTTTGTGCAAATACACATATGTATTCCCTTATTTTTTTCTCATTTAAAGTCATTTTATTGTGATGAACAGATATTTGGACAATGTAAAACTCTACTTCCTATATAGACAACTCCAATAATCCCTCAGTTTAGCATGTAAGTACATATTTAAACAATTTAAAAACACATTGACTACATAATTTTTATTTGTTACTGCTCAAAAGAAAGGACTTGTGTGTTTGTGTGTGTGCCTAAAGTTTTTATTTTTTTTTACGTCTTTATTGGAGTATAATTGCTTTACAATGTGTGTTAGTTTCTGCTTTATAACAAAGTGAATCAGTTATACATAAACATATGTTCCCATATCTATTCCCTCTTGCATCTCCCTCCCTCCCACCCTCCCTATCCCACCCCTCCAGGCAGTCACAAAGCACCAAGCTGATCTCCCTGTGCTATGCGGCTAATTCCCACTAGCTATCTATTTTACATTTGGTAGTGTATATATGTCCATGCCACTCACTCACTTTGTCACAGCTTACACTTCCCCCTCCACATATCCTCAAGTCCATTCTCTAGTAGGTCTGTGTCTTTATTCCTGTCTTACCCCTAGGTTCTTCATGACATTTTTTTTTCTTAAATTCCATATATATGTGTTAGCATATGGTATTTGTCTTTCTCTTTCTGACTTACTTCACTCTGTATGACAGACTCTAGGTCCATCCACCTCACTACAAATAGCTCAACTTTGTTTCTTTTTATGGCTGGGTAATATTCCACTGTATATATGTGCCACATCTTCTTTATCCATTCATCCGATGATGGACACTTAGGTTGTTTCCATCTCCTGGCTATTGTAAATAGAGCTGCAATGAACATTTTGGTGCATGACTCTTTTTGAATTATGGTTTTCTCAGGGTATTTGCCCAGTAGTGGGATTGCTGGGTCATATGGTAGCTCTATTTGTAGTTTCTTAAGGAACCTCCATACTGTTCCCCATAGTGGCTGTACCAATTCACATTCCCACCAGCAGTGCAAGAGTGTTCCCTTTTCTCCACACACCCTCCAGCATTTATTGTTTCTAGATTTTTTGGTGGTGGCCATTCTGACTGGTGTGAGATGATATCTCATTGTAGTTTTGATTTGCATTTCTCTAATGATTAATGATGTTGAGCATTCTTTCATGTGTTTGTTGGCAATCTGTATATCATCTTTGGAGAAATGTCTATTTAGGTTTTCTGCCCATTTCTGGATTGGGTTTTTTGTTTTTTTGCTATTGAGCTGCATGAGCTGCTTGTAAATTTTGGAGATTAATCCTTTGTCAGTTGCTTCATTTGCAAATATTTTCTCCCATTCTGAGGGTTGTCTCTTGGTCTTGTTTATGGTTTCCTTTGCTGTGCAAAAGCTTTGAAGTTTCATTAGGTCTCATTTCTTTATTTTTGTTTTTATTTCCATTTCTCTAGGAGGTGGGTCAAAGAGGATCTTGCTGTGGTTTATGCCACAGAGTGTTCTGCCTATGTTTTCCTCTAAGAGTTTGATAGTTTCTGGCCTTACCTTTAGGTCTTTAATCCATTTTGAGCTTATGTTTGTGTATGGTGTTAGGGAGTGATCTAACCTCATACTTTTACATGTACCTGTCCAGTTTTCCCAGCACCACTTATTGAAGAGGCTGTCCTTTCTCCACTGTACATTCCTGCCCCCTTTATCAAAGATAAGGTGACCATATGTGCATGGATTTATCTCTGGGCTTTCTATCCTGTTCCACTGATCTATATTTCTGTTTTTGTGCCAGTACCATAGTGTCTTGATCACTGTAGCTTTGTAGTATAGTCTGAAGTGAGGGAGCCTGATTCCTCCAGCTCCGTATTTCGTTCTCAAGATTGCTTTGGCTATTCGGGGTCTTTTGTGTTTCCATACAAATTCTGAAATTTTTTGTTCTAGTTCTGTGAAAAATGCCAGTGGTAGTTTGATAGGGATTGCGTTGAATCTGTAGATTGCTTTGGGTAGTAGAGCAATTTTCACAATGTCGATTCTTCCAATCCAAGAACATGGTATATCTCTCCATCTATTTGTATCATCTTTAATTTCTTTCATCAGTGTCTTATAATTTTTTGCATACAGGTCTTTTTTCTCCTTAGGTAGGTTTATTCCTAGATATTTTATTCTTTTTGTTGCAATGGTAAATGGGAGTGTTTTCTTGATTTCACTTTCAGATTTTTCATCATTAGTGTATAGGAATGCCAGAGATTTCTGTGCATTAATTTTGTATCCTGCTACTTTACCAAATTCATTGATAAGCTCTAGTAGTTT